CATCCGTAAATATGAGAGTGATATTTTACCAACCTGAAAAATCCTTCGTGTTTAAATAATCAAAAATATTACTAATATTATCAAAAATGTCAGCAATAACCAAGGATGAATGTCACCCAAGATCGGAATTGGCAGACTTTTGGCTGATCTATGCTGCAGTTTTATGGCAAGCATTTGTATGCAAAAGTTTGAGTGCCTCTGGTCAAATTATATATTTTGTTGATTTTCTAATAAGTTCACATCCTCTACACACATCTGCACATTTCATGGCACAATTGCTGTTTATTTATTGAATTTAACATATTGTATATAAAAAAAACATAAAATGCAGTTGCAATAAGTGCCATTTTAATCTCAATATTATATTTTGTCCTTATCTGTCTGGATCTAACGAGAACCGACTGCTCATGTCAGGGTCGGACGTCATTTCCCAAATGTGTCAGGCCTGGGTTGGGTTTTATTTTTCCATAATTTCACAACTTTCAATGCTATTTTAAACTGGAGTTACCCACTCAAGACTGAGGTCCACAAGGTCCACACTCATGAGAAGACAGGACATAACGGTGAACTGATTCAGAAAAGTAGTTTAGACCAGCCAAAGTATTGTTTGGCCAAAATTATTATTATATGTTCAATATGTTCTATGTAACATATTTAAAAAAAAATCTATGTTCTGTGTACAGAAATATAGCTTTTATTAAAACAGTTGAAAACAACATCTCGCTATATAGCACCACAGCAAAACAGCCCAGTATGGAAACTTTATCCAGGCTAAAAAAAACATTAGAGATGCCGTTCTAAAAATAAATTTCTTAAAGTAGAATTTGAACATAATTTCGGACAGCTAATTAATTCACTATAGTGTATTGTTCTTTATTTATTGGTCTGTGGTCTAATGACGACTATTATTGCAGGTATCTGATGCTATGGATTTATTTGGCACTTTGGGTGATGGGTGAAAGCCAAAATTTGATGATGTGGTTCAGGTCAGGTTTGTACAGAATTTTGTTGACCTCAAGTCAGGTTTGGAATCAAAATACGATGCTGTTTGTCAGTTCGGGTCAGGCTCAGATAGAATTCTGTTGAGCTCAGTTTTGGATATAAAACATAATGATATGGTTCTGGTCAGGTTGGGTTTAGATAGAATTTTGGTGGGCTCAGGTCGGATTCAGACTTAAAACGCAATGCTGTGTGTCGGTTCAGATCTGACTCAAAAACACAGTGATGTGGTTTGGGACAGGTTTGGACAGAATTTAGTCGTATTCAGGTCAGTTTCTGACTCAAAAAGATGTGGTTCTGGTCAGGTTTAGACACAATTTTGTCAGACTTGGGTCAGTTTCAGACTCAAAACGTAACAATGTAAGTCGGGTCAGGTTTAGACAGACTTTTGTAAGACTTGGGTCAGTTTCAGATTCAAAACATGATGATGTAGTTCAGGTCAGGCTCGCACAGAATTTTGCTGAGCTTGGGTCAAGTTTGGACAGAATTTTGTCAGACTCGGGTCAGTTTCTGACTCAAACATAACGATGTGGTTGGAATTGGGTTCGGCCAGAATTCTATTGTACTCAGGGCAGATTCTGACTCAAAACAAAATGATGTGGTTCGGGTCAGGTTTGGACAGAATTTTGTTGGGCTCGGGTCAGTTTCGGACTCAGAACATGATCTGGTACTGGTCAGGTCAGACAGAATTTTGGCAGACTTGGGTCAGTTTCAGATTCAACACATGATGATGTGGTTTGGGTCAGGTCCAGACAGAATTTTGTTGGGCTCGGGTTAAGTTTGGACAGAATTTTGTCAGACTCGGGTCAGTTTCGGACTCAAAACATAATGATGTGAGTTGGGCGAGATTCTGACAAAATATAGTCAGACTCGGGTCAGTTTCGGACTCAAAACATAACAATGTGGTTCGGGTCAGGTTTGGGCAGAATTTTAGTCATTCTTGGGTCAGTTTTAGACACAAAACATGATGATGTGGTCGGAAATAATTTTATTGTACTCAGGTCAGTTTCTGACTCAAAACATAATAATATGGTACTGGTCAGGCTCAGACAAATTTAGTCAGACTCGGGTCAGTTTCAGACTCAGAACATGAGGATGTGATTCAGGTTTGGAGACAGAATATTGTTGGGCTCGGGTCAGGTTTGGGCTCAAAACACGATGCTGTATGTCAGTTTGGGTCAGGTTTGGTCAGAAAATTCTCAAGGTGCATTCAGGTTCAGACCAAAATTTCAGGTTCTACTAAAGCTCTACCTAGAAAGCACCACAGACCTGACAGTTTCTATTACACTTACACTCACTTGGATATAACAAGGCACTGTCAAAGATGTACAAAAACAGGGAATGTGTTTTGACTGAAGTAGCAGCTCAGTTATACCTGATCTATATCCACGTCAGGCATTAATTGGACTGCTGACATTTTGAAAGCTGAGAAGTTTTCCGTTTGTCCACCTCTGTGCTCTCTCTCAACATTCAGTCAATAAATTAATTTGGAGCATTTCTTGAATGCCACAATCATCACTCTGCAAAAATAAGCAGCATATTCACTGTCTCTGAGGTGTGGAGCAGAGTACAGAGACTGAGTTATTACATGAGAACAAGGTGACTTTTTCCCCAAATGCCACAACTCAGCAGAAAATAAAAGTGACTCAGCACGGCTCGCCGTCTGCTGGAAAGCAAAAACCAAAGCCAACATTTGTTGTAGACAAAGAAAGCTAACTTTATTCCAATTCATCACATTCAAATGCAAACACTAACATATTTCCCACAGTTTTTTCGCCAGGGCAGATTTTCTTTTGGTCAGTTGAGCGCACATATGGCCAGCTTATGTCCATGCACACCATATGTCAGCATGGCAGATATTTCTTTATGAATATCAGCAACAAAACTGACTGGATGCAGCACATTGTGACTAATTATGTGGAGTTTTTGCATCCTGTCCCAGCGGACCAAGCAGAAAAGCAAAGCGCCTTGGATATAAGCAGCTCCTGTTTTAGCATCAGTAATATTTTGAAGCTGCAACTATTGCTCACAATAATGAAAGCATGTTGTAATTCCATATGAATTATTTCTCAGGCAAATCTCACTGAGACATGCACAGGAAGTGTGTAGAAAGCACAAATTCTAAACTTTCAATTCATACACTTTTGTGCCTGTAATTATTAGACGAGATGTTTTATTATGACTTTGCTTTGTTTACACTATGACAGTAGAAGGGTGAGGGTAAACTGGATGTAGCATTTCTTTCAATGGCGCAATGACAGAAAAGTCTGCCACAGCCAGCGGCAGTGACAGCGTACTGTAGTGGTCAGCAGTATACAACTTTTGCTGTCAGCCGCAGTGGTGGAATAAACCAGATGTTGGTTTGTTCGGAAACATGGTTGCTGAGTGCTTTTTATAGATGGGAAAAAAGGGCACTGTACACGTACATTTTTGTTCATCAAGGCACAAACAATGTAAATGTACCCTCAAAGGTACAAAATGGTCTAAAATACCTTAAAATACATTAAATAAGGTACATTAGTATACCTTAAATGACTTTTAAAAGTGCGCTACAATTCACTTTCCCAAGGGAAAGATGCATATTTGTACCTTATTTTTACAACTTAAGGTTTTAAATACATTCCATCACTGATTACACCAGTTCTGCTATGACAAAAATTTTGTCAACGTCAACATGTAAATGCAGCATAAGACTTCATGTAGAACTACAGTCCATTAAGATTATTTATTCATTATTTGTGTCAGTCCACTGCTACTCCCACAACCTCCCAAGCAGGAGTTCTGTACATCACCGATGCTGAACATATCACGCACAAACATGTCCACTATTGAGGAGATTGTTAGTTTAATCATACTTCAAAGTGGTTTATTAACACTGAGATTAATAACTGATCATGGCATTGATTTATCAGTCTACTCAGGCTTTAGCAGAGCTCAGTAACACTGAGATTAATAACTGATCTACTCAGGCTTTAGCAGAGCTCAGTAACACTGAGATTAATAAGTGATCATGGCATTGATTTATCAGTCTACTCAGGCTTTAGCAGAGCTCAGTAACACTGAGATTAATAACTGATCTACTTAGGCTTTAGCAGAGCTCAGTAACACTGAGATTTAAGGTGGAGAGGTACATGCAGGGTGTTGTGAGGCAAAATAGTCCCCGAAGAAAACTCATTTTTTCAGACTTACCACTATTTTACCATCATCAATATTACATATAAAAACTCATAAGTCATGTGTAGGTTCAATTGGAAGGTCAAAAAAATGTTTGTTATTTGTGTTGTAGGCATCATAACCCCTAGTTTCAATTGCCAACACTGTGAAGAAGTCTGTACATTTCCCTAAAGTGAACCATTTCACATCAAACCATTCTAAATCACTTTTTGTACATCTTAATTACTGAATTATGCAGAAATTCTGAAACATTAGTGAAATCCCCCCCTTTAAAAAGACACTTTTAAAAGCATAAAGCACAGGAGCAAGAGTCAGTTTAGAAATACATCTGAACATCTATTATTTGAGCTGGATGCTGATATTCTGCCTATTGAGCTTCTCTGAGGAGACTGTGATAGGAGGTGTGTGAAGCACCTATCACTGTTAGGAAGCACAACTAGTTTTGGCAGATTGCCTTGATATGCTTAAAATGTGCCTGTCTTCAAGCATCATCAAAAGCTAGAAATCCAGCCTGAGCTGGAGACACAATTACTAGAGCAAGTGACAGACTCTGAAACTTTCACTCCGTTTCTCGTCTCTAAAATATTATTTTTTCTTTTTAATATAGACACCATTGATATTCAGATGGCATTTCAGGCCAGATGAGCCACCAGCTCCGTCTCCAGGAGAGAATGGGAAGATAAATATATATGTATTCCTTGGTTTTTCCACATTGCTTAGTCACATTGTGATAACTAAGCCACTCAGATGTGAAGGTCGAACGGGAGAGGAGTGAAGTTTGTGAAAGTACAGTGTTCTAGCTGTGGCTGTGTGACTTATAATCCTACCTGAGTCGTTTGTAGTACTGTTTGACCTTCTCCAGAGAGGCTGCATTAATCTGGGCCTGATATTCCTCCGCAGAAACACTGTCTCTATAGTAATAACCCTCCATACTCTCCAATGCTGTCGGAAAAACAGACCATAGCTTACATACAACAAAACAAACATAAAACTGGATAAACAAAGAAGGCCTAGAGTTACATTTAGCATATTGATATCTTATGCTTTATATGTCAATATTAAAACACAAAAACAAACTTGAAGAAGAAAGTTTCTGGACAAATTTTAAGGTGGCTTGACAAACTCGTTGGTGGGGAATCCCAGGTGTTTAGTAAGGTGTTGCTAGGTGGTTCCTATGGTATCCCAGGTGGTTACTAACATGTTGCTAGGTTGTTCTTAAAGTATCCCAGGTGGTTGCTAAGGTGTTGCTAGGTTGTTCCTAGAGTATCCCAGGTGGTTGCTAAGGTGTTGCTAGGTTGTTCCTATTGTATTGTAAAGTAGGCTAAAATCAATCAGTATTATAGGATTAAAAATTTTTGAAGACATTTTTGTTAAAAGACTAAAACCATGGCTATATGCATACCCTATACCCTGCCTATATGTAGTAAACACACACACATATATATATATATATATATATATATATATATATATATGTTTCAAATATTATGTGATTATGTGTGTGTATATAAGTACATTCATGTAATATGTATCTGTATAGAATAACAATGTTCTAAATCTAATTACAATCTTAACTTCAGTAACCAAAAAGAAAGGCCTGTATTGTGTCTAGTTTTTCAGCTGAGACATGAAAGCGCATGTAAACACACACACACACACACAAACCTTGAGTGAAGAGAACAGGGTAAATCTTGAAGCCTCCTCCGTGTCTCAGTCTCTGGGGCAACTGCTGGAAGTAGAAACCCTCCAGATAGAAAAACACCTTCACAGCCTGCCTCGTACCCTCCACCTGATAGGAGATGGGCATGTCTGCACAGACAAAACAGAGTAAACATAGAGGACATCAAGGAAACACTGCAACATAAAAACTTTATGGGGACCTGTAGACGTGGGCAAACAAGGCTGAAATGCGCTTCATGAATAATAAATTAAAATTCAATTTACTGAGCACAGAGCACACAAAAAGCGTTCTTTGACTTAACAACAGCAACAGAAACTGACAGAGTAATAGAGACTCTCCATCATAGAGAAGACCCATTTAAGCATTTAAATGCTTCTATGAATGTTCTTGGTTCTACTTACTACCTTTAATCAAGAACATTTTATAAGTGTGTTAGCTGATATATGCCCATGCCACTCAAAATCAAAGTACTAGTGGTGTAAATATCAGTTTGCACAATGACTTGATTCAAGTACATTCAAGAAATGATTGCTACAGAATTGTGAAATTGTAAAAAATGTAAAATTTCATCACAATTTAATTATCTTAATATTCTATCCAGAATTTTTTTTTAAAATGCACAGCATAAACAAAAGTAATCTGGGGAACAAATTACAGTTTTACCAGGGATGTTTACCAGTTTTGCAAACAGGGGAAAGCAGAGCAACATGATCAAATTTAAACTTCATGCATATCGCAACAACTTTTTTTAAGAAAGACAGAATAATCATGTATCAGAGGAAACTAACAGTAGTGTTGGGGTTTTCTACAGCGATTTGAACCCCAGTCTGCAGCTTTCAAGTCTGTAACATCACCCGACATGCTACCTTGCTATGCAATTGCTACAAACATCAGAGTTGAAACTCTATGTAAGTACGGAGCCCCGGAAGGTGAGCACCAGAAAGTGGGGAGCACCCCTTACTATGTGGTGAGAACCCGATACTATGTGGTGAGCACCCAATACTATTAGGTGAGCACCAGATAAAGATATAGTAAATGTTTTTGATAGCATGTGGTGAAAAATCGGGTGCTCACTTGATAGTATAGTGTGCTCACCACTTAGTATCGGGTACATACTTGACAATATTGTGTGCTCACCACTTGGTATCGGGTGCTCACCTGATAGTGTCACGTGCTCACCACTTAGTATCGGGTATATACTTGATAGTATTGTGTGCTCACCACTTAGTATCAGGTGCTCACCACATAGCTTCTGGTACTCATCAGATTTTTACCTAAAAAAAAAATCACATGTCCCTCCAGGGGCTCCGTAACTCAAAGCCTGGCATAAATTCCAGTTTTTACAATAACAGAAACTTTGTTAAGCAACGTATTAGCACTCCTTACTGTTGTTTGTTTATGTAATGTGGCACTTTCTTACAAAAATTATCAGTGTTAATTGGTGTGTTTTCTAGTGCTATTGTGATGTGTGCATCCACAACAGTTAATGAAAAAATCTCTGCAGGTGGTTAGTATTGCACCTGAGGGGGCGCCCATTCGGAAGCTCAATTCCTGGGGCGAGATTGAGCTGAGCCTCATTTAAACAGATCTTGAAGAACAGCCACATAAAACATAATTATTATACAAGCTAGCTAAGGGGGCACTTGTACAGTCTGGGGGAAAAGGCCAGGGGGTCAAGCCCCCACTGGTGTCTATCTGTGCACATGCCTGATTTTTACATTTGAAAACAGCCTAGGACTTCTATTGGTCAAAAATGAGTGGATACTTTATTGAATACTACTGTTCAACTATTATTCAACAAGTATTCCATAAAGAACTACAATTCTAACCAATTTTAACAATTCAAAATCAGTGCAGCTTCAGATGAATGTGACATGGTGCATTTTTACATCCTTAAAGAGTACTGCTTCAATCAAATTTACTGCTTTGCTTAAAGGAGTCACAACAGCGGGTCATGCGGAACTGAACCTATGCCCTTGCTGTAGTGTAGCTCTGTCTGATAATGCAAACGTGACACCCTTCACTCAGACGTGACGTCCTTCACTTACTTGCGACGAGCGGCTCCCCGTCGAACTGTCTGAAGTAGAAGGTGACCTTCTCCAGGTCCAGCAGAGCCACCTGAGTGTCCTCCAGCATGGCCTGTTCGTCTGTCTGAAAGAACAAGACAGCAATACATCACTACACTAACAGGTTCAACTCTGCTGCACGAGTCCATGTGAGCAAATCAGTCTGAAATAAACCCTGTTTTATTAAAGTGGGTGTATTATTGAGTGAACAAGTGTTAACCATAAGGGTCTGAATGTGGATCCACCTTTCACTTTCCCACAGAAATTACAAGTATTAATAGTGACAATGCTTAAAAAAAAGAATATAATACATAATACAGCCAAAGTGGCAATCTGCGGGGTCCAAGCATGACACATCAGAATCAGATCTTATGTGCCAGCATGGGGCCCTGGTAAGATAAATGAAAGACAGTCATAGTTTTTAAAAAGACCTCCATTTATCCTGATTATGGAAGGGGTGTGGGGTCAAAGAAAATGTCTAGACTGACCTTCTGACCTAAGTGACATTTTAATTATCAAGTCAAATAATTCACAAGTAGTACAATTTCTGACTGGTGTAACTGGTAATTGAGCAGCTAAAATATTTGAACCACTTGACATCTATTATATATCTGCAGGGTCCGGAAAAAATGCAATTAAAATAAACTATTTCTATATGTGTCTATACATATTGCACACCCAAATTCTCTCTCAATGCTTCTTCTCTCTCTTCTCGGAGTAAAAAAAACCCAGTCTGCCCTTGGCTCAGGATTACAGCTCTTCTCAGTTAAATCTCACTCAGTATGATGCTGAACGCTGCTCTTCTGCTTCCGAAACATTTCAAAGATTTCAGACAGTCACCCCAGGCTCATTTGGAGGCTTCTCTCAGCGTTTAATTCACCCTGTCCTACCATCCTTTCATGTAGCGGCCCACGAAGCCTGAGAAATTCCCTGCGGGTTAGACAGTGTAACCTCCTCTACTCTACAGGGTGAGTGGAGAGGTGGAGAGGAGACACCAGCGCGGCTGAGATAAGAGGAAAAAAGCTTCTGCTGCTGAGAAAACACACATTACAGCTAGAAAAAGCGCAAGGAAGGGCTGCAGGGGTTATTTTCTACGCTTTTCTGACACGCTACTTAATTATCATGTTTGGCCTCAGTGTTAAACGTTCGTAGTAGACTGCCTCTCCACTATCTTTGCAATTTAATTCAGAAATAATTGCCAAAAACTGAGGAAAAAGGAAAATAAGTGCCTTCCAAAACTCGCTGAGTGAGCCGTTCAGTAGGGCAAAGTTCATTTTACTTTTCTGAGCAGATTACTAGAGTAAAAAAATTTATTCTTGAGTGTAACTTGGGTAGGTCTAGGCCACCCACTTTGTTCACTGACCCACTTGTATAATCCCCATAGAAAAGCATTGACCAATAGCATGGGACGCATTGGAGCAGACATACATAAGCCTAAGGTCAATATGCCCAATGCCAAGCTTTGGCTAGTGGGGTAAAAAACTTCCCAGCATTGGGCAATGAAGCAGTGGATCTGTGTTCTTGGGAGTGACTGCGGTCTGTCCAATATGTTTGGGATGAGTTGGAGTGACGTTTGTAATCTACAACTAATCATACAACATCAGTACTTGACCTCACCAATGCTCTTGTGGCTGAATGCAATCAAATCCTCACAGCAATGTTCCAACATCTAATGTAAAGCCTTCCCAAAAGAGTAGTTACTGCAACAAAAGGGTACAAACCCTCTATTAACACCCTAGATTTCAGAAAAACGCTGGATAACAGGTGCCTGAAAACTTTCAGACATAGAGAGCCAGATGTGTGAATCAACATGTGTGAGCACAGATACAGCCTTGATTTAACAGGAATATACGCCAACAAGGTGCCTGAATTTAACATTCAATTTACAAAGACTGCAGCTTATTAGGGTAGCCCTGACCCTAATGCAAATTTAGGCCTGGTTTTAAAAGACTTAAAAGGTTTGAAATCAAATCTGTCACAGCAAATTCCAATTTTAGTAAATTGAGTGGAATATTGAATCAGCCACACTTCCAATTTCTTCCCACATTTTGCAAGGCCCGGCCTCAAATGCGTATGCTTGAGCATATATATGCACACATTTCGCTTCTTTCCATGTAAACAGCCCATAACCTATTGCTTTTATAGTTGTCAAAAAAAGAGAAAAGCGAAGAAGCCTTAAACATTGTAATAAATGTGCTTCAATAATGACAATTCCTTCTGCCGAGAAAGTAGTACACTTCTGTGTTATGGACAGAGCCACAAAACTGTCGCAATATCAGGTTCAGCTCAGCTTTTTCAATATTTCAACACTTACAAACTTCAACCTGAATGTTGTTTTGTTCCAGACAGTCTGTAAGGCATTTCACAGCCCATCTTGTTTGCCAAATAATAATGATAATGACTGTTTCTGGCTAATTCCAGTTTGCTGTCAATCTGCCATCACAGCTGCGGACCAAAAAGCTTGTTTGGTGGCAATGACAGCATCAGAATTTGATGTAGGAGTCTTCTTCAAAATCTGACCAAATGGGCTGCAGGAAAAATATTATGTTATAGAAGTTATCTAATGTGTCCATTTTCTCTTTTTGGATGTGATACAGCAGAAACTCATTATTTAGCAACTGCTGCTCAGCAGAATGATACAGTTGTAGTGAAAGAAATGTGCTGTTATCACAAGTATCAGCACATGCAGAGCACTTCTCAACCAATCAGACTGTGTTGTCAGAACTAACTGTTGTATAACCATGCATAACAAAGGCAGCAGGCATTTGTTATGAGCCGAAACTGGCATAAAGGCTCAGCAAATCAGGCCCAGAGTGTATTGGGGCCTATTTGACACTAGTATAACTCACAGTCATGAGGCTTATAGTTTAAATGAATCTCTGGTGGATAGAACAAACTTTGAACAGACACACACCCACACACACACAGTGGACTGATCCCCTGGACCCAATCACGGTCAGGTAAAAACTGAACCAAAACCAGGACCCGAAACACAAACACTTTACACAAAGACGCTAATCCCCCATGATCCTCGGCCCGGCCGACACAAGCACAGCCAGCGCAAATTAGAAAACACACAGAGCATGCCATCAGTTCAATAAAGCAACAAAGAGGGATTCACATACAGAGCTCTGACCTCCAGGGAGCTGGCTATAAATGAAAGGAGGGGAAATGGGAAGGACACTGAAGAACAATCTCAATCATTACAGCCTGTATAACAGGACAGGAGGCATTCAGAGAAATACAATGGACAGTTCATGTGTGGAATTACAGACTGTAGCCCATCTGTTGCTGCACAATTTATTAGCCACCCTTTACCCTACACATCATTTTTTGACCACAGGAACGCTGATGAACCCATATCATTTGGATGGTGGTCCCTTCTCAGCACAACAGTGACACTCTCCATTTCAGTGTGGGTCAGTGTTGCTTTTGTAAGTACTATATATAACATTAAAACACTCACCAGGTGGGGGGAGAGTAGAGACTGGAAGTGTATGAGCAGGCCGGTGGAGGAGATCTGGTCGAGCCAGCGGCGAGCGCTCTCCTGCCCCTCACTCTCTCCACTCAGAGTCTGATTCAACATGGCCAGAAACTGCTCCGAAAAACAGCAAACTGCTCCAACTAAACTCTGAGTAAACACCATATCCCTCCGCAACTGCACCTCCGAGTCTGAGACAGAGAGAGAGAGAGAGAGATGGAAAAGCTTAAAAAGCAATTCTTGAGACACGTCATAACAAAAGCTGTAACTTCTGATTGCTGCTATAACACTTTTTAGGTGGCAGCAGTCAATGATGTTTGTTAAGCTGATGTTTGTGAATGTCATCTTAGCTAATCAGTCAATTTAGGTAATAGCTAATCAGACAGTTCAGCCATTTTAGGCTTGTACTTTAACAGGTGCATAAAATGAACAAAAAAGAGATTTAAAGGGCCCATATCTTAATTTCTTTTTGTATTTTACTTTTTCCCTGAGGTCCACTTACAACATTTATGTGGACTAATGTACCAAAAACAATCATGTTCACATAACCATCTTCCAACCTCATTTTATCTCTTTGAATTAGAGGTCTGCGCAGGAATGTTCAGTCCCGCTCCCACAAGATTTCATCCCACAGGAAATCGGAACCATTTGTCCCGGTCCCGTCCTCGGCCAAAGCGTTTTGTCCTGCTCCCACCCGCTCAATTCCATCATGGCAAACTGACATCCAATATCTGACACAGTCTATTCACAAATACGTTATTCTCTGCTGAAATAACATGGTAGTCATGGTCATTAGGCTCACTGTGAAGTACCTTCACCAAACGCCATTTATTCCCAGTAAACACAAAGCAGGAATTAAACCACAAAGCGGATATTTTTGATGTTTTGCTGGACTCGGCAGCTGTGGCCGTCGGACTGAAGGCTTCACCTCTGTAAGCCTCGAGAATTTGCATATTGCTCACGTGATCAGTTGCTTCGCAACTCTTTAGACTGACTTCATTCATTTTAACTGTTTTACTGTCATCATTTTATATTGTTCATATTATTTAGTGATCGTTCTACTTTATTTAGGCTATTCATTAATTTGCAGGATTTGTCCTTATGCGCGTTTCGGCCCGCTCCCACCTGCAAGGGGCTGGTTTCCCGCCCACTCCTGCGCAAAAGACTGAAAATTAGTCCTGCGCTGCAATACATTGTGCTGGGCCCCACGGGAGTGCAGCCCTCCATTTCGAATCATAGATAAGTAAGCTCTGTTCTGATTGGCTGCCCTGTATTGTGCCTCATCCAAAAAGCAGTCTGGGATGAAACACCCCTTAGAACTTTAGTGTGAACGGGTGGGGCTAAGCTGCTGAAGGCTGAATTTGAATGTATATGTGTGGATTTATGTAAATGTGGTGATTTTTGGTTATCTCACAAAAACAGTGGACACAAAACAGGCAGTTCTGCAGCTTATTGTCCACAAATAGACTGTATAGAATGGTATGTTTTGTCATTTTAACATGTTTACATACATAAATCTCTTTTATTACAAAAAGCATGGAGTTTTCTACGATACGGGCCCTTTAAACTTCATGATCGTAATAAGCCTACTAAATTGAAAACTGAAACACTCAATATTTTAAATGCTTTTCTTACATCTCTTAATTGAAAAGTGAATTGAAATTGAATCTAAATCTGTCTGTAATCGGAACTGAGACACTCTTTATTATCTTTAATGATTTTCTAGCATGTCTTAACGTCTCTGTAAATGAAGCTGAGGCTTCTTAATTCTCTAAATGTTCATCCATATTGTTTCAGTGATGCTCTGGTAATACTGTTTCTTATACAATCACACCAAATTGAACGGAATTATCTGTGATAGAAAGAAATGCACTGAGAATTAGAGTGAGAGACATACAGAAAGAGAGAGAGAAGGAGAAAGTGAGACAGAGCATGCTAGATAAAAAGATCAAGAGATAAAGAGACAAAAGATGAAAAAAAATTCAACTTATGCATAATTCATAGAAATATTCTGTAATTAACTGCCTCTGCCTTTCTTAGTCTGTAATTCAGAACCAACAGAAAGGTCAAAATCTTGAACCTTCCAACCCGTTCAGGGCCCGCTCCAAAACATAAAGCGCTAAAAATAGAGGAAAAACACAAGCGCACGGTTCCAGAAGCAATAACCAAGCGGCAGTTTTGAGAAAAATGGCCCGTAAAAACATTACGCAAATCAACTCGCTTCAAAATGAGTTCATGAACTCTGCCTGAATTCATAATGAACGTCTGCAGTTTTTCTCTTTTTTTTTGCAGCAAAATGTTATTAGCATCCTCACGGGAAACGGTGGAGTTTTTATTACATCATTTTTCCTCAAAGCAAACTAAACAGAGCTTTCAATGCTCAGTGAAAATGCACAGTTGATCTTTCAGATGAAATTTAGAGGGGTACTCATTTACAGATGCTAAATTATTCCCCCATCAACTACCAGCTAATTAATAACTCTGACTATGAAGCTTTAAAGATGAATGATTCTCCACTAAGTGATTCTAAATGATGCTCCTTATGTTCAGTGTCCCCTATGGTGGTTATACCTCAAATATCTTCTGCTTCTGTATTAATAGCTCACTGAAACAATCAGAGAAACTGTGTGCAAAGTGCAGATTCTAAGTGTTTGTCTAATATCACATTAGTGTTTACAAGCAGAGGAGATATTTTGTTATGATTTGAATTTGCTTATTTTATTTTTGTGCGTCTTATTTTGCAGACAAAAAACAGCCTTGACACATATTTATCATTTTTTTCACATAGAAACAAACATAACAAAAATGTTTGCACATTTAGTTCAATCTTAAAAAGCCACTGAATTTTCCTCACTTTTTTGAAACAAAAAAAGTTTGATGTTGTATGTAGACTGTGTTTCAAGCCTCTTTCCAATTTAGTGCTTTTATGATGTCATGAAAACCAACACATGTACATATATTCACCTATTCAGCTTTCAGTAGTTTAGCCCCACCCACTCACACTGAAGTTATAAGGAGTGTTTCAGCTCTGACTGCTATGTGAACAAGACACAATTCACATCAGCTGTCATTTATATATATATCAATCTTAAAGGCACATTAACAGATACAGCCTATTTAACACCTTTAAATGCCAGGCTTATTACGTACTTAGGCTTATTATTCAGTAACTACAGGGACTTCAAAGCAAATTGGCTGGGCATAGAAGTGTGTAATACAAACTTTGGGCCTGCAGGCAGGCCCTGGCCATTTAAGGGGTCAATTTTAAGGTATTAATAGAGGTTGGAATGGTCATGTAAAAATGAATTATAACTGTTTTTGCTAAATAAACCCACACAAACTTTATAAGAGGAACTAATTGTAAAAATATAAGAAAAATGTAGGATATACGCCACTTACATTTTGCTTTCATAGATAAGGACGATACAGGCTACAGCAGTATAGCCATACTGAGGCACTGGCTATGCATCATTTAAAAACCTCAGTAGTAACAACTGTAAAAACTGTAGTGGGAGATCATAGCTAAAAATAAATAAATAAATGTATATATTTCTTGCTTTGCAGCGGCAATAATGACCAACAGTCATATGCAGAAGTCCAGGCATTAAATGACATGTTTTGTTGATTTTCTAAGTTAACACATCCTCTACAGAGAACACACTTCTGCATGCTTTAATGCACAATTACTGTTTATTTGTGAATTTTAGGGAGCTCCGCTGGTGACGTCCTGTATAAATTAAAATAATGCGTGCCCACGCCTTAGTAAGGCATGGGAACAAGATAGTTAAGGCCATGACTTAGTACGGCATGGAAATGAAATCCTAATGCATGGCCACAACTCGTTCCCACTTCTTACTAAGTAGTGGCCATGACTTAATTATCTTTTTCCCATGCCTTACTAAGTCGCACGCATTATTTTTATTCATAAGGGATGTCACCAGCGGAGCTCCGCAGAGTTTAACATATCTTAGGAAAAAAAATTAAGCATAAAATGTGGCCTGTGCAAAAGTTATGGTGCATTTTATATTTTATGTTTCTTTGTGTTTTTTTTTCATTATGTTAAACTTAGCAAATAAATAGAAACTGGGCAATAAAATTAGCTGAAAATGTGATATTTAACTGTGTTCTCTGTAGAGCATGTGTTAACTTATTTCCACTTGCAAAACATTGTTTGACTGGGTGGAGGTTGCTTGTTGCTGATTCTGCTATGTTCAGATTTGTACAGCTGTAGTTAGTGGACTGATCTCTCTATGGTGTTTTTGGCTTCGTTTGTGCTTAACACAAGTTGCATTTATACGATTCCAGTCTTTAAATCTATGTAACGCTCCTCTCTACATTTATCTTCATAAAGGTGAAAGTATTGCTGCTAATGCAGGACTTGATGAACTCACTTCTCACACCAGCATGATGAGATGTACTTACATGTGGTGCTGTAAACTGTAGCTAGGTGTTTCAGAGTTTTTTTGTTGGCTTAGGAAGGAGCAACGTAAATTGTGATTGGTTCTGATGCGAAGACTGGATTTTTAATAGATCATGTATTTGGTGAGTTCATTTTCATTTGCATTTTTTGGTTTATTTGTTATTGATTTTAATATTGAAAGTACATATGAGCCAATTTGTGTGGGCCTCTGGCAGAGGGTGGGTGAGCCTAGTCCCGGTGGGTCCAATCACACTGCCACCTCTGCTCAAACTGAACTGAATTGGACATAAATGTAATCAACCACACACACACACACACACATCATCTAAACCGCTTATCCTTCTGGGATCGCGGTGGAGAACTGGAGCATATCCCAGCTGTCATCGGGACGGAAGGCAGGATACACCCTGGACAGGTCGCCAGTCCATCGCAGGGCGATATTATTAGCAGTGAAAACAAATGTTAACTAAGTCAATACATACCTGAATACTGGAGTAACACCAACAATAGCCTCGTCTTCACCTCTGAAACACAAACACACACAAAACTGATGAAATAAAGGCATTTGCAGAAATCACACAGGTGCAATGCAAGTATTTTCAGAGAGATATACATCAGTGTGGTCTGGTTAAGTGCAGTGTGTATGTGTGCATTTGGGCATATCTGTACTCTCAGAAAAAAAATGTTCAAAACTTATGTGAATGTTAATGAAATGAGATTTTATTCCAAGTAATTTTTGACCATTCCTATTGGTCCATTCTTTATGAAACATTCCCACAGTGTAAAGAACAGCTGTGTTTGCGTGAGACAGTGTGTGTGTGTGTCTGTGTTGTCCTGACCTTCCACAGCCTTGCTGAGCGTGTGTGTGAGTGTGTGGACGCTGCTGGGCAGGTTCCAGGGGTCGTGTCTGATGTGAAGCCGCAGTTTCTTCGTACAGTTCAGCTTCGGCTCCAGATCAGAGAGAAACTCTGTCCAAAAACAAAGCAAACACACAATATTACGACCACAAACGAACAGCACTGATAAACCCACATATACACACACATCTAGACTGAACACATGATTTAAACTTAAAAGGTACTTTTTAAAGTAGATTTTAAAGTATATGTACTTTTCAAGTTGACTACAGGTACTATATAAAGAATATGTGACATGGCAGAAATCATATATTTAAGAGACAATTACACAGAAGCCTCAACAAAGAAATATAAAATCATCTTTCTTAATATTTAGGGTGTCCACTCTTTGCTTTTATTGCAGCTTCCATTTTTTTCAGGAAACCTGCTTTTTAGTTTTTTTCTGAGAAATCTGCACACCTCCAAAGTTCCACACCTCCAAAGTTCAGTCTTAGACGTCGGTTGCATTTTCTATTTCTCGCAATTCAAGTAATCCTAAACACATTTAGTGATGTTGAGGTCTGGACTCTGGGGTGGTCAGTCCATTGTTCTAAAAATACCAGCAGCTTCTCTGTTTGATTTCTCCTTTCTATTTCCTTTTCTTAGTAAGGGCTTCTTGACAGCTGCACATGCTTTCAGACTCATAGTGTTGAGTTGTCTTCTCACAGTGGAAGGATGGCTGTGGATTTTTTCAGATTTGAAGCAAGAGTAGAGCTTGATTTTCTCCTCTCTCTCAAAGATGAAAGCATTAAGTTCTGTTTATCTGATGGGGACAGTTCTGGGGGTCTACCAGGTCTCCCAGATCTTAGGAGTCTCATTTTCTCTGCAGCTTTTAATCAGATTTTGAACTCTGGTGTAGGAAAGTTCTGTTTTCTCACTTTCCCCTTTCTTACGCAAGTGGATTACTTAACATATAATACTCAATGTATACTTAATGGGAAATACAATACCATATAAGTACTCATATGTGCAGTACATTTGGGTCTTACACATCACTGCTGTTGGGACAAAACCTCGTATCTCCAAAATGGTAACTTTACAGGAGAAGGAAAAAACATACTTTACTTATAATGTAAGTCAATGGAACCAGACGTCTTTTCAAGTAATCTTGGGTCGTTTCTTTTGGTCCGTTCTTCATAAAAATTAAGCACAATGTAAAGGGGATAAGCCATTTCTTATACTATGCCAAAAACTGAAAAACGACAAAAATGGAGATATGAGGTTTTGTTCCGACAGCAGCAATATGTATAATATATATGGAACGTGTAAAACCCATGTACTGACAAGGTATAAAAACACACACACAAACACGTAATCTCATGGTGATTTCCATTCCTTATGGCAGACAGCTTGGGTAACACGAGGGATCAACAGTTCTCACACGGATAAAAAGGTGTGACATTGCTGTGATGAGAGAGGGTGAAGACTCACACAAAGCCGCCTATCCGTTTCCTTTAGTGTTCAGGGAATGGGATGGGTTGTGACGGATATATAAGGCTTATATCATCAGTAGGTTTGATTCATAGCTCTGATTATGTAATGATTCCTGTCATGTTTCTCTTCAGAAAGGCAGTCATCCTCTACTGTAGAAAGACTTAACTCAGCAGGAGGGATGCTGCTAGAGATCCAAGCAAGTGAGAAAAATGTCTTTATTTGGGAATTATTCAGGAATAGAGACTCGCCATCCTCTTTACTAGAAACCTTGACTTCGTACTTCCACTCACTGAGCTCCACCTACTTTATAGGTCCACTATATTGGTGTATAATTGCAGATTGTAGCCCATCTGTTCCTACACAATCTATCAGCCCCTTCTTAGATCTGTTTTGGACCACAGGACCACTTTTACTGGATCCTCTGTATTATGAGGTCGTTACAGGTTGAAATATGAATACTGTTACATGCACTGCAAAAAATGAGGTCAGCTCAACTTAACATTATAGGGTAACTGATTACACAGCTTTTCTTGAGTTAATTCCACTTGCGGACACTAGAGTTTACTCAAGTCAAACTTCTTAGTTTAGTCAAGAGTTTTATTATCTTATAGTTTTATTTAAGATTATGAGTTTGAACTCCAGTGATGCCACAGCCATCCATAACTGGGAACCCAAGAGGAGAAAATGCTTGGTGGGATTGCCTGATGGAAGGAGCCCCAGTGTGGTAGGTGAGTAAAAACATACATTCTACATTGTTTCCCCAATTAAGATGCAGAACTCAAAATGAGAGTTAGGAAAACCTTTGACTAAACTGAGAAGTTTGAGCTGGGTGAACATTAGTGTCCTTAAGTTAACTCCAGATATCTCAAATAATAATAATAATAATAATAATAATAATAATAATAATACTTCTATAGTGCTTTTCAAGAAAAAGACATTTTTAAAACACAAAACAGTGGAGACAGACAGAAAAATGGAAATAGGAAAAAATGTATGAAGTTTGTAACTATTTTTTTTAAACACGAGGCACGACAGCTCCCATTCCCAAAAACTCCTATTCATTTTTTTTAAATAGAGAAATCCATCTTAAGCCTTAGAGGTTCTAATACGGGCATGGCGGCGACTACAGAGTGACAGTACAACTTTCTTGGTCTATATTACAGGCCCTGATGTTACACAGACACATTCCTTCGTCTCCCTGCACTCACATGAAAACAGCAAACACACCGGTGCCTCTGAAACGCAGGCGTGAAAGTGGCCCAGCATGTGTGTGTGTGTGTGTGGAGGGGGGATTAGGACATTTAAACAATGAGGATTACACACTAATCCATTACTCTCCTCACAGTGGAGCCACAGACTGAAGAAAGGTTATTCAGAGCCTGCAGTGGCAGCAGCACAGATTAGAACAGTCCTGGAGATCTAACTGGACCACACACACACTTCTCCTGCTTCACACCTTCACCTCTGCCTCAACAAACACAGCACACACTGACTACTCCTTACAACAAAAGCTGCTGTAACTGCTTATATTACTTATTTCTCATTGAAACAAGTGGAGAAATTGTGTGGAACGTGCAGATTCTAAACATTCAATCCATGTTTCTAAGCAGAAGATGAGATATTTTATTATGATTTCAGCTTGATGAAAAGTTCACAATCTGGTTTCACTGGAAAAAAAAAAACAACATTTATATTTTTTTAAACTTACCATTTTGGAGACGCATATTTTTTTTTGGACAACAACAAAGTCCATGAGAGATTACTTACTAACCGGACATGGTTTGAGGCGAGTGTGTAATGATTTGAGTATGCAGTTTGCACAGTGCTAATTGGTGCATATGCTACTACTATTACAGCCTCATAACTCCAGGGTACAAAAGTACGGAAGCAAACTTCAGACGCTAAACATGATAGACTACATTTGGTGGTAGCATTTGATTTTTTGTGTATGTTTGATTTTTTGCTTCTGCTATAAGGCTCAACTGACGGACAGACAGTGCTGAAATAAACTCAAATAACTCTTTCAGAGTAGGATGGAGAAGCTCAGCTCTCAGACCACCCCCACTCACAGCTGGAGTAAGCTCCTTTACACAGGATGCACAGGGCTTTGCAGCACACTCCACTTCCTCAGCAGTGATCTGCTGGAGGGGGGGCTGAATCTGGACACAGTGCAAATTTAATCAAATCATCAAGTATAGGAGTTTAATGTCTTTAAAAGCTACATCATAGAAAGCTATTGCACAAAATAAAGGGATATGACAATAGATAATATAGAAACAATAAATATATGATGCTATGATGTCTGAGATACAGTTTTGAATAAAAATGTATTTTTTGAAGTCCATTCATGGGGTACATGCACGACATTGCAAGGCAGAATATAAGAAAACTTTTTTTCCTCAGGTTTAGCACTATTTCCGTAGTCTACATTACATATAAACACTCCGAAGATACATGTAGGTTCAATGGTTGCTTTGGATAATAAACAAACAAACATTGTTACAAACATTGCGACCCCTGGTTTCCCTTCATTCTTCATTCAGTCGACATCAGAGACACGTGCCATGGTGTGCGAGTTTATAGCCGATGAAGTTGCTGTAGCAGTTATGAAGATTTTTATTAGTGACGAAGATTTGACGAAGATATTTATAAGAAACATGGGTATCAAGTTACATGCAAGTGCCTTTAAAGGCGAATTTAAGGAGACATGCAAAAAAATGCCCTTAGACCCCAGAGGGTTAAAAAAAAAACACCTTTCGTCTCTCACACAAGAGAACACAGTCACACTCTCATATACACACACTTTATGCCACAGGTAGATAATGAGGTGTCTTAGTGCCAAAAGGTGGAGTGTATCAAGCTGTAAACGAGGAGAGAGCCAAAAGGTTTCTCCACCGCTGAGCAATAAATTCCTGTTCCTTTTTTTTCACGTGAGAAAAGTGTAGGAGAATGAGAAATATGGGACAATACTCAAATGAGCACACCAGCAGATCCCACGCTAACATTCCCACTCACATTCCACTCTTTTCCTGACAAAACTCAGCAAGCTGTCAAATTCACTATTCACAAAAGGCAGACTTGCAGGACTGGCTGATGACTTCAGACAATTTTATTAAAGCAGTAAACCACACGAGGCTGTGAGTTGAAGTGAATTTCCCTGTGGTAAAATTACAGTAATGCACGCCCTTAAGTGGCTCATTGATGTAATAAAAACATCAACACAATACAATGTATTAAATACATAATTTCAGTCATTAATAAACAACTTTGCCCTGCAATGTAGCTTGCTAATAGTAGACTATGGCTGCCAAGCAAGCAGCCAAAGGTTGGGGCATTAATACAGAATTCAGTTCTGTGCAATCAAGTATTACACTACAGCTTCAAACATAGTCTCGCATGAGTCTTGAGAGAACATCTTGGGACAAGCATGGGAAGTTTTGGGCTAAACATGGGTGGAAAGGTAGACATATTAGAAAGGGAATAAACTGATTATGATATTTCTGATCTTATGCCTCGTGAAGGCCCAAATCAGGGGGCAAAGCTGCCCTCGTCAACACTGTCTGTCGGACAACAAACCTGTTGTTATGGATGTCACATAATTTATCATGGCTGCAAATTTCTCAAGAAAATCCATGCATGTAGATGTGTCACGTTTGCAGAAAACACATTACATACAGTACAAATAAACATGCCCTCTTGCAAGGCAATAACAGTTCTGTTAGCTAACCACAGCGTTTCACTAGCTAGCTTGTAGCTAGCTTGTTTTGCTTTCATTATTGTTTGTGCTCTGGACGTCAAAAGACAATGGACTACAGGAATTCAGGGGTGGATTTTAGAGGACAGGTAATCTTGTTTGTGGTGGATTTTGTCACAAAGGTGTAACAAGTTGGGCCCAGACGAGTACTCTTTTTACTAGATCACGTCTAGCCCTGTGACACAATTTTGACTTCACTGGCTCAGTCAGTTATAATATTACTTTTAACACCTTAAACGGCTCAGCCAATCAGATTCTAAAAGCACAGCGATTTGTTTTAATAATATTAATTTTAACTCCTTAATCATTCAAGCCTATTATTCAGTTATTAATTTCAGCAGCTACTACAAATTATTCAGTAACTACTATGAAACTACTGTTATGCAGTTATGAGATGGAGGAATTGAAGTGAACGGTTAATAGAAGCATAAAAAACATCATCTTTACCTTGAAGACCTCGTCCTGGAGTGAAACACTTTGTCTGTTCAAAGGCCCGAGCTACCGACGCCCCCTTCAGGAGACCTGTGATGGAGTCCACCTGCAAAACACATTCACTTGCTATTCAATCATGGCTCGCTTCCTACATCCTATAAAGCACATATAGCACACTTCAGGTGCTACTGCAACTACATTTTAGGGAAGAGAGGAAATTACTTTAATAACAGTAATCAATAACTGGCTTTATAAGGCGTACTAAAAGTCTTACAAAGGCATTGTAATGTCCCTCTACATTAATGTTACTATAATAGTTACGTAATAAAAAGTTTCTGAACAGATTAAGAAATGATAAGTCTCAGAACGGATTAGAGTTCTAGATTTTGCAGTACCCGACTGCTCTATAGCAGCATCAGCCACACAGTGGCCATATAATACATAAGACAGCAAAAAGGCATCATATAACACATGAAGGTCAATGTTGTGTGACCCACAGCATACTCACCTGGCTGAACAGGTGCTCCAGGAAGCTGTGGAGCTTCTTCTGCTTGTCATGAGATATCCACACGCTGGCTGGCATCTCATCTCCTGTTAGTGAAAAGTGGAGAAAATTAGAGGTTTTGATCAGGATAAAAAGGCAGACACTGAGGCTTTATTAGTGTAATGAAGCAGAACAGTGGTACTAGAACACTGACACTCCGCTCTCTCAGCACAACAACCACCCCCCCCCAACCTCCAGTGCACCCGCTGCTTAGCAATTAGTATGTAATGGCTATCAATTTGACATCAGGCCTGTTTGGCAACGCAATAATTCAGACAGGCTGAATCTGCTGAAGCAGAGAGGATAATGCAGATTAAAGCTAAAAGACTCTGATAGATTTAATTACTTTTTATAACTACAGTAGACTTTGCTCTTGTATTCAGTTCTGTGATGAATGATGAAATGGAAGATGTCAGATGGAGAGCAGCTGTGTCAGGCCCTCAGTTAGGGGGGATTATTTAATGGGGCAATGCCCCACCAACCAACCATCATGCCCAACTAAAACCACTACCTTGTGAATGCTTCTATAGTATCAAGTGGCAAAAACCAAAGTTAAGCAAACTTAATATAGTATATACTGTCCACCCACATTACCTGAGTCCATCTCATCACTGTGGACGTATGAGCTGCAGTGGCTGCTGCAGATGCTGGTGAAGGAGGCTATGGAGTTTCTGTTACTGTTACAGTCACTGCAAACACATACACAAGAATACAAACATCAGCCCCAGTAGCACAGCACATCGGTTACTGCTAAAGGGAAATTTTTGCATAATTCAGTGGTTCAGAGTCATTCAGAGAGTTTGATGTGAAATGGATTATTATAGAAAAACTCAGTGGTGGTGATAGGAAACAGGGGTCGCTACGTTTGCAGAGCAAATATAACCATTTTATTCACTATGCAAAACCTTCAGTGTCCTCTGAGTTTTTATACGTAATATTGATGAGTGTTAAATAGTGGTAAATCTGAAAAAAATGTTTCCTTTGGAGACTATGTTGCCTTACAACACCCTGCATGTACCTCTCTGTTATGACTGTATTTTAAAAATTATGTTTTGTGAACAACTCAAAGTTTCTCTAGAAGGAATATTTATATCAGACCACTCTGAATGACTTTGTGTTTAACCTGTATGAGTCTCTGTTACTGATGGTGTTGTGTTTAACCTGTATGAGTCTCTGTTACTGACGGTGTTGTGTTTAACCTGTACGAATCTCTGTTACTGACGATGTTGTGTTTAACCTGTATGAGTCTCTGTTGCTGACGGTGTTGTGTTTAACCTGTATGAGTCTCTGTTGCTGACGGTGTTGTGTTTAACCTGTATGAGTCTCTGTTGCTGACGGTGTTGTGTTTAACCTGTATGAGTCTCTGTTGCTGATAGTGTCGTGTCCTGAGTCCTCCTGCTCCTCTCCGGTATTAAAACAAACTCTTCTCCGCTCGCCTTTCTCTCCATCACACTCTGCACTGATCACTCCCTCCGCCTTCAACTCAGTACTGCTGCTAGGGTGAGTGATTGAGGAGAGCAAACTGAGAGGGGAGAAAATAGAGAAAAAAACATTTTGTGTGAGAATGTCAGAGAGAGATAAAGAAAAAATAAAGGGAAGCATGGAGAAAAGATGAGAATGTGAAAAAATGAATGAAAGAGAGGAAAGAAAGAGAGGAAAGAGAGAAGAGAGAGAAAAGTGATAGAGACAGGAAAGAAAGAAAGACTGAAAAAAACAAAGGATTGAGTGAGAGAGAATCAGAAGGTTAGAGAGAAAGAGAGAGAAACAAACAAATATGTAAATAGAAAGAGGCATGAAGGAAAGAAGAGAGTGAAAAAATGAATGGAAGAGAGAAAAGAGTGATAAAGATGAAGAAAGAAAGAAAGAAAGAAAGAGAAAAAGAAAGAGAACAATAGAGGAAAGAGAGAAAAGAGTGATAAAGATGGAAAGAAAGAAAGAAAGAAAGAAAGAAAGAAAGAAAGAAGGGGGAATGAGAGAAAACAAACGATGAGAGCAAGAGAGAGAGGAAGACGAGAGAAAAAAGTGTCAAAAATCAAGAGAGTGAGAGAAGGGGAAAGATGGAGTGAGAGAGAAAGACAGAAAGAAAGAGAAGAGGGCAAATGAGAAAATTAGAGTGAGAGCAAGACAGAGAGAGAGATAGAGAGAGAGAGTATAAGAGAGAGAGGGAACATTGCTATGTAAATACCGTCATTGCATCAGAATCACCGTCTCTAATGACACTGGGATATTAAACAGTCACTCTGTCAGCTCACGCAGCATCAGCAGCATCTCTGTCAGCATTAACAGGCCATTCCACCTCCTCCACCTCTCTCTCTGTAAACTCTGCACTCTATAAAACCCACGTTTCTGGTCTCTCTGCTGTTTGTGGAATACAGGCTGGTGCTCTAATGTCATCAAGATGTGTGTATGGAGCCGAGCGCACGCCAAACAAAACCAGAGCATGTTTGTGTTTGGCTTCCGGACCGATTTCAGGGGGCTGGAGGTCTTCAAAATATTAATAACTTCAAACACGCACCAACAGCTGAGTCAACAATCACAAAACTCAACCCCTCTCGCTGAGAAACTTTTTCACGAGGCTTCCGAGTATGGAGACCACTAACGAGCGGGCATTTTTTTCAATTGCAGGAACATATGGGGGCATTTAAGTGTTTTTAATGACTCAACACTTCTGTACTGAGCGCATTCCTCCACACACGCACTAGGATGTCACATCTTGTTCGCCTTTTTCACCTCTAATTGTTTTTGCGTGCTTTTTCCATTGTGTAATGCTCCAAACTCCCCCAGATCAACTGCAACTAAGTCCATATGGGGGGGCAAACAGAAAGCTCATGTCTATGTAATCATGCTCAAGACAGATGACCAACCGCACCACCCTCGTTCAACTACCAAGCCTTGCTTTGCACAAAAAATCTGGAGTCTCTAGCCTTCCCACTTCTTGTAGTGCCAGAGAAACTACCAACAGCATCCATCTACCACCAAGGGGCAAAGCCCACCCTGTACTGCCATTGGCTCAGGCCCATATTTGGTATTTTTCTTGTATTTTATTTTTTCCCCGCAAGTCCAACTGTAATATTTGTGCGGGTTTATGTACCAAAAACAGCCGTAATTCATTTTTATATGACTACCTCTCCTAATCCAGGCCGTTTTTGTTACGATGCCTTTAAGGCCGATGTAAATGACCTCTGTTCTGATTAGCTGCCCTGTATTGCACTTCGTTTGAAAAGCAGTCCAGGCTGAAATGTATGGAGCAAATAGACCAGGATGTTCTTCAGCCACTTCTGTGTGGACCTATTAGAGGGCTGCAATAATCCATTTGCTTCCTGACAGCCAGGAACAGCACAACGTTTAATTGTTTCCCACATCTTCCACTCCAATAACTCTGCTGGAGATTGTCTGCAAGAACTAAATTCAGAGGTGTTAAGCACCACCAGATCATCTTGTGGACCATGAATGGAGTTAGGCAATAACTTCAGGGGGAGGACCATACCTGAAACTCCTGCTCCTTCCAATTTTAATACCCTTTGAATTCCCATCTCTACCATCCATTTACTGTGATGAAGTTTTCATAATCCCCACCACTAGCCATCTCCTCTCCATTCCTCAGTCCTATCTGTCAATCCTACCACTGTCCAAACGGGGGGTCCGCACTTGCGGCACGGTCCAAACTCGCAAATGGCTGTTAGTAAAATAATGATTGACTCGACACTCAACCAATCGAGCGTGATCATCTGGAGGATATTGTAAGAACACAACCAACATGCTACATACAGTGGGGTCCAAAAGTCTGAGACCACTGGTGAAAATGCTTCTTTTTTGCATCCCTTTCTAATTCAAAGGTGCAGTATGTAAGATTTAGGGGGATCTATTAGCAGAAATGGAATACAGTTCACAAAACCATGTTTTCATTAGTGTATAATTACCTGTAACTACAAATTGTTGTGTTAGTTTAGTTTAGAATGAGCCCTTCATATCTACACAAGGAGCAGGTCCTCTTCCAACAGAGGCCACTACGTTGTGCCACCATGTTTCTACAGTAGCCCAGAACAAACAAACCAACACTGGTTCTAGATAGCGCATTTTGGATTTTTACGTTGAAATGGCAGCCTGAATTAGGTGGCGCTATAGCACCGTTTGGGAGACGCAGAAAGAAGAAGAACCAGTGGTTGCTGCAAGCGCTGGCTAACCATTTAGTGTTGTGAGAAGTTTGAGAACCCAAAGTTTGATAATTGGAGGATCATATTTGTTATTTAACCCAAGAAAAAGCAAGGGAGGGTGAACCCTTGTGAAGTTCAGAATTACTTAGTTTTTGGTATGTTTAGAATTCATCATTTAAATTGTCATAAACTTTATTCATTTGAAACTTTACAAGCTTCTGAAACTTGCTTTTGTTCAGCTTTAAGTGAAAAAAATACCAGATTTTCAGTGAGGTCTCAGACTTTTGGATTCCTGTGCACATGCGACAAGCTACACTGAAATCGCATTAAAGTAAAGGTCTTTGCATAACTAGCTCGATTTAATGATGCAGTTTATTCAGGTGTCAATACATTCATTTGAATATGTGTATAACTAAGTTCTACACAAATGAATGGTGTTTTTGAAAATCACCATTCATTTGTCCCATAGAGAAAACCTGCTTAGACCTCAAGTTCCTTATTTCTAAATGTTGCCGACTACAAAATGATGAAACATCCTCTCTATAAATGCGTTCATGTTTGTGACATCACAACCATGAAAATTTCAAAACAGGCTGTTTTTGCAGCTTATGTTGCACATAAGGTCCATATGGACTGGAGAATGAATGACATGCTTTGAAACTTTATTTAGTACAAACTGTTATTTCAAAAAAGTAAGAAAAATTCAGCTTTCCATGACCCAAGCTCTGTAAGAAGAAAGTGTGCCCAGTCTGGGGCTGGAGGGCATGAAAGGCAGGAAGAATGGAATAAAAATGAGGGGATTTGAGCTTCTCCTCCAGAAAAGCCCAGCGCACTGCCGTCCACACACTGCTGACCCCAATCTCACACATCCAGAGGGATTTATACTGACCTATATGCTGCTACAGACTCTGTGCTTTCACTTCTTATTGGTGTTTTGGTCTACAACAAAAATAATGCATTTTAATAATAGAAAGATAACAGTAAGAGTCTATTTTGATGGTCACCTATAGCTTATATACAAGCGCTGAAACTGTTAAACTACCTGATGAAACTGAACAATGTAGGATTAGCACCAGCATTAGTGCAATGGAATGTTTAAGTTTAGGTTTTTTGGTTGAGATTAGGTTTAGATGCAAGATTAGTTTTATCAGAGGGGGTCCAGTGATGTAATTTGTGTGTGATTTGACTGGCTGATTTGTCTTGGATAAAGAATCTGTATAAGTTCCTCAATTTACCCCAAATAGCCCGGATTGAAACGTAGTAGCGCGGACATTTGTGTCAGCATTAGGCAACTGGCGCCACACTTACAAACAATAACAACATAATGTCCAACTAAATGACAAATACTGTGGCAAAAAAAAAGAAAAAAAAAAACAAACGCCAATTCCAAATGATGATGCATAATCATAGTATACAGGAGGAAATCTACACTGAATTGTGGAGTTTTGTCATGAACTTGAGAATTAAGGAACTGGGGCAAATCAAGCTCCATTTTAGCAGTTAGCGTCGTCTAAACGGAGGCGCTGTTTTCTATTACCCGATTTTGTTTATTACATTTGTCTGACACTGATTCTAACAGGACTATTATTACTGAGGGAGCTCAGAGTTCAGTGAATTATAAAAAGTAATTCACTCTGGAACTATTACTTAGGACTCTTATAAAAACCACGGACACTGCAGATTCATACTGGATTAAAATCTTGGTTTTCGTCTATAAAGATCACATTACAGCACCTCTCCAGGTAAAACTAATCCAGCCAAAAAAAAAAGATGAAAAATGCAAACGATCTTTGTTCTGATTGGCTGCTCTTTACTGGGCCTCATTTGAAATGCAGTCACTTTTCCAATATATTAGCCCTTTAAGTTCAGGGTTACATTGAGAGCTAGGTTTAGGTTTAGGGAGAAGTTACAGGGAATTCAACAGATATTTAGCTAAATGTCAGTTGCAAACAGTTTTACCATAACATCTGTACAAGACTGGCAAAACAAGTCACTGATAAGCAGAGAAGCTGAACAACATGAGGGAAAAATGTAAAAAAAAAAACAGCAGCTAGAATAAAATGTATACTGAAAACAAATGTACCGAACACGTTTGAGTTGGGAAACATGCTGCAGCTAGATGCTTGACAGGATGCATTTTTGAGTGAGCAGGAGAAATCTTGGCATGTGTTCGGGGACATGAGAGGAGCTGTTCACGTCAGCTGTGTGCTCTCTGTCCCGCGAAAGAGACAAAAGTTCAAATGTCCCTGCTTTTAAAACACAGGCCTGCAGGAATTCTCATAGCGAGCTTATATAACCAGCACTCAGCTTTCTGAACCCGGGACACACTCTCCTGAGCAAAAAGGGTCAGGCACACCTCTCTGAAGCA